AAGAGTACTCTATAAGGATTCTAGTTTCCTTTTAGAATATGATTCAATATTTACCTTGATATGATGAAAACTTACCTTGCTTTGTTTGTCATCTTCTTCATCATCTTCAGAATCTGATTCAGCAATGAGTGCAAGAAAAATAGATTTATTTGATTGTTTCATTGCAAGTAGTGACTGATTTTCGAACCTTCGATCCTCAAAATCTTCTTCTGATAAATCCCCCATAGCGACAAAGACTCTTTTCATTGAAAGATCCATTTCTTGATTGGTCATTCTTCTGTTTGTAGGAATGTACTTATCATTCTTAATTTCCTCCTCTTTTTTCAAACTATTCCTCTTTTTCTCTAGAGATTTTAATGGACAAAACTTGACAAGGTGATCCAGACTTCCACACTTGTGACATACTTGATCTATTGGATTTTCAGTGATTCTTTGAGAGTTCCTTCCATGGAATACTTGTCCCTTTTTTTTAACAATCTTGAGAATCTTTTGGCCATTAACGCAATATTTTTGTCCTCAAAATTTTCTGGTGTTGTGCCTGTAAGAACCAAGTTCTTCTCTTTTCTTTTGCCTCCAATTTCATTTTCTTGTTTTTTCTTGAGTTCATAGGTCATGAGATTTCCAATAAGTTCATCCATAACTATCTTATCTAGATTACAGGCTTCAGTAATGACTTCTACTTTGCTTTCCCAAGATTCTGGAAGAACACTCAAAAGTTTTTTGACTGCTTTCCCATTGAGAATTATTTCATCTAGTGAGTAGATTTCATTAATGATAGCAGCGAATCTGATATGCATCTCTTGGATTGTTTCACCTTCTGTCATTCGAAACAGTTCGTATTGTCTATTCAAGTTATCTATTTTAGACTTCTTTACCTGAGTTGTTCGTTCATGCGCAGTTTGTAAAGTTTCTCATATTTCTTTTGCATCTTGACATGATGATATTCGATTGTATTCATCTGGACCTATTCCGCATATCAAGATTTTTTTTGCTTTAGTATTGTTCTGAATTGCAAGTTTATCTGTAGCATTCCATTCTTTCCTATCTTTTGGTATTTGAGTGATTCCATTAATTCCATTCTTCATGGGTATGGTTGGACCGTCCAACACGACTCCCCATAGGTCTAGATTTTCTCCTAGTAAATGATCCATCATGGGATTCTTCCACCATCCATAATACTTTCCATTAAATAGTGGTGGTCGAGTTTGAGTGGTGTAGCCATTGATCCTTTTCAAGATGTTAGTCTTTTAATGAAAAGACCTGCTCTGATACCAATTGAAGAAACCTTACCCCTAGAATAAGAACCAAGTTCTTGTAATTTTATCGTAACACAATAAAACAAAGATTTATCGTGGAAACCTTCTTAACTCAAGAAAGGGAAAAATCATACCGAAGTTTTATGTTAATTCAAGATTTACAACTCAGTCAATCAATGAATCTAACTCTAAATTTCTACCCTTTTCAATTAACTATCATCGAAAACTCTCCACTCAACAAGAAGTCAAACTCACTTCTTGTTTACAAAAGATCTCAACTCTTCTTAACTTTAACAACCGAAGAAGTCAAACCCACTTCTTGTTTACAATTCCCACAACCTATCTCCCAAGAAGTCAAACCCACTTCTTGTTACAATTCTCTCAAGACTCAACTCCCAAGAAGTCAAACCCACTTCTTGTTACAAATCTAGGAATTATTACAACTCAATAATAAACCTAGAACAAATCAACAAAGACTAATAACCCTAGACTTTAATATATCAAATTTTAATATCCAATAGTTCTGAGTGGAACAGGTTTCATGAACCTGGTCCTAATATTGTTGTGATTAAGGTGAACCCGGTCCTTGCGTTTTTGTGACGAAGGCCTGCGTTTTTTATCCAAAAAATACTGTTCTCAAGATGATATATTTCGTGAATATGCAATGGCTATTGTTTTGGCTTTGCTGATAAATTCTCTTGATTTGTGTTTATGCAAAGATGCTTATTTTCTTCAACTTTTTGATCCTTTTATAGATTTGATTTGCCTTCAACTTCTACAAGGAAAGAAATTACAAATCTTTTTCCTTCTTGAACTTGTCTGTATTTACTTCTTTTCTTATTTGACTTGAATTGTAACTTCTTTATTTCTTTACTTCTTTGACTTGAATTGCTACTTTTTATTTATTTTCTTCTTTATTTATTTCCATATTTGTTTCCTTCTTTTCCTTCTTTACAATTCTGCATTTTTTTCTTTGCCCCAATACTTTTTCTTCTTTGCCGCAATCTCTCATAATTGTACACATGCAACACCATGCCTTTACTTTGTCAATCATCAAAATTACTTTATTTGTTCTCATACTTCCCAACATATTCCAAGGTTACCGATTTTGTTGTGGTATTAGATTATGAGATCGCCAAAATAAATCCTATTTTCCCCTCCTTCATTAAAGGGGACAAGTTTCCAGAATGCAAATGGCATCTAGGAAGGATGATTGAAGACTTCTATTTTTTTAAAAATCATATATGTAAATTGACATTGAAAAATATACTATCTTGTAAAATATTTAATTGAGCTTTTTGCCATGAAAGTATTTGAATTATTCAACATGAGAATTATATGTTTATTGAATATATCGGATGAATTTAATATTAGTTAGCAGTTTATTCGTGTGTACATGCATATATATTTGGCAACAAAAATTAATTAAAATATTGTATATTGCAATTGTTAAAAAGATAAGTTTTAGTGGCAATCATAGTTGCTACTGAAGATATAACATGTTTAGTGGCTACAGTAGTTGTTCCTAAAGATCATGCTATTGCGGCAAAAAGACCTGTCACTAAATACAAAATGGTATTGTGGCGAAGCGATCGCCACTAAATGACATTTCAGTGGCAATAAGAGATGCCACTAAACATATATAACTGATGTGGGGACCCTTGTTTTCATTGAAAGTCAATTTTCAGTGGCGACTTACATAGCATTTATGTTGTGGAACCTTATTTTGTGACGTATTTGTTCAATTTTTGCAGCGAAAAAAGTCGTCGCAAATATAATTTTTTGTGGCGCTATAAGAAGGTCGTCACAAGAAACCTTTAGTTATGGAAGTACTTGCTACGGTGATATTGTTGCCACTTAAGGTCATTAGTGGTGACTATCTAGCTTATTGTGGAGATTTTAGTCGCCACTAAACATCTCATTTTTTGTAGTGTCATATACAATCTACTAAAAGCATCAACAACAACATCAGCCTTTCCAAAATGATAGAGAATAATCATGTCATAATCATTGAGTAACTCCAACCACCTCCTCTTGTCTCAGATTAAACTCTTTCTGACTGAATACATATTGAAGACTCTCGTGATCGGTGAATACATCTAAATGAACACCATAAAGACATTTTCCAAATACTTTTTTAAAAAAAATTGACGATGATGGTGGGGGAGGATTAACCTTGTATGGGGTGGGGGGGGGGGCACGGAATGTGGGGTAAAAGTTTTTTAAAAAATTGAAATATTTTTCAAAAAAAAATAATTGGAGGGTGGGGGTGGGGGTTTAAGGAGTAGGGTGGTAGGGGTTGGGCCATGTAAAATTATCTTTAAATTTTTAATTTTTTTTTTTGAATAGGCAGGGCTAGATACGGTGTATGTGTAGGGTAAGAAAAAAAATTAAAACATGAGGTAGAGTTTAGGAAAATATTTCCTTCATATTGGAATAGAAAATACTTTCATTAAATTTGAGAAAAATGAGTTGATTTGGAAAAAAAATAAATATTTAAGCCAATCAAACATGAAAAATTGAAAAACATTTTCTAAAAAATATTTTGCCCCTACCAAACACACCCTAAGAGTAAGACATCATAGTTTGTTGAATTATTTAGAAAATTTGTGGCTAATAATCATTTTATCTTATCTCTCTTTTATATATAAAAATAATAATAATAAATATACAAATATAAATATCTCACAATTGTCCAAGTATTTTACTTTTCTATTCCAACTTGAAGTCTTTTAGGGCTATTTACAGTTTCCAATGGCTGCCCACTTAGCAAGAAGGTTAGACACTTCTTATCTATATATATTATTATAATTGTGATGAGTGAGTCAATTTTAATATGACTTTGATCAATGTTATGAGATATTTGAAATTTTTCACAAGATTTTAAGTGAGTTTATTTATTAAAAGTATGATAAATAAGATGAAATTATCTAGTGACTTTTGTTTCCATAAAAATATAAATTTGTGACTTCAAAATTCTCATTCTATTATTTTATCATTTCATTGTATGATTACTTTTTTGGTGCTCTAATAATATATTTCTGGTGCTCCTGAAAGCCCCTTAAATCTTTGTTCCAGAAACATTGAAAAAACTATTTATTTGGGTCATTTACAAAACAAAAACAAATTTTTTTTAACCAACTCAGCCATTACTAGTGCCTGATAACGAAGTGACAACCTTCCCCACCACCAATAGAAGGTCCAGAAGGGCATTCTTGTCCCTCCTACACCTCATCACTTGGGAGTCGTATGTAAGTACTAATTATATATGTATTAATTATAAGAGTTTAGTTATGTTAAATTTTTATTTGTACATGTATTAGTTGTATTAGTTATGTAAATATATTAGTTGTGTAGAATTTTTGTTATCTAAGGTGTAGTCATACACTTATTTTATAGATATTAGGTATGCATGATCCAATTAAGTAGAGATTAAAGTATTTTAGTGAGCTAATTTTATTTTTTAATTCCAAACATAATTATTGAGCTAATGTTTGTTATAACCATTAAAATAACAAACAATATAAATAACATATTACAATTAAATAAATATCAATAGTTAAATATAATAAAGTAAATAAAATTAAGAAAAAGTAATTAAGTTATCTCTACTCAATATGATGAAAAATTTAAGCAATAATTTATATTAAAATTAAAAAATAAAATAAAAAGACAAAACATGTATTGGTGGTGTGCGGTAGAAAAACTATGCAAAGAAATTAATTAAATTAGTAGTGACTGACATTTTTTTGGTAGAAAGAATATATTATATATAATTAAAGCAGTACACAATCACTATTATAACTAATGATTACAGATAAGTTTCTGTAATGAGCTAACTTATTACACAATCACTTAAATATTTGCTTAGTAGCTAGAATTCCTTGTAGATCGGTAAAAACTCTGTTGCAGCTTCCGGCGAAGTATGTAATATATATGATTGAGGGGGTTAGCTGAGTACCTATCTTGCACAAAAAATCCGCTACTTTGTTCCTGTCGGAAGTTATGACGCACTACTAGATTCCCCAACCTCTTCAACATTAACCTGCGAGAATGACAATTGAAGAATACAAAACGTTCGGTTCCTCTTAAGTAATCGAGTAGATCAGTGGAGTCTGTTTAGACTTCCAAGGGTTGGAGATTTAGCATATCTGCCAACTTTAAACCTTCAAGGAGGGCTTCAAGTTCGGCAATAATATAAGTATGACTGCTAGCTTTTTTTTAGAAACCAGCCTTCCAATTTTTCGTGATCGTCTCGGACGACTCCACCAATACCGCTATCTCTTTGTTTCATCATGAAGGAACCATCTATATTTAGCTTAAAATAACCTGGAGAGGGGGGGGGGGGGCACTGGATGTGAATGTCGATAGAGGCTTCAAGGTTGGTAGGAGTTGAAGTGTAATGAATGTATTCCGTATTTTTTCTTTTGACCAGGGAATGAGAAAGAAACTTAGTTTTTCCATTAACAATTAAGAAGAATTAAAGCAAACAAACTAAAAGTAATCAAAAAGATAAAAGAAACCCAAAGCAAGAAAATTCATAATGTTTTTTCTTATATGTATTATTATTTGATTTCTTTTAGAAGTGATTTGATAAGGATAAAAAAGTAAATCCATCGGTGATCTCTTAAATTTGGCAATAATTTTCACTTAGACACATCAATTAAGCGATGTTCATTTTATACACCTCATATAGGGTTCTATTGTGTCATTTTTTGACACTTTTCTGACAATAAACAAAAAACTAAAGGAGAGTGTAATACACTCGTTGATTACGTGACAAACAATCAATTAAATAATTACATGTGTTATTTTCAGTAAAAATAATTATAATATCTATTTAGTAAATAAATTTAAAATATTATTCTAAGAAAATGTCTTATTTCATTACATCCAAATCTCTTTTGTGCTTTTTCAAAAAAAAAAATCTTTTCTTTTACTATTTTCATATTTATTCATCTTCTTTCTTTTTAATATTGTTTTTTGGAAAGAAAAGAGGGAGAGGAAGAAAGAAGGAGAGAATCAATAAGAAATATGGGTGTTGGTATCCATTTTTCCCACAAAAAATGAAGGGAGGTGATGGTAGATTTAGATAAGTAATACAATGAAGAAGAAGAAAATAACTTAAAAACGAATTTGAATTAAAAAAATTACCTCCATTGAAGGAATTTAAGCTTGAAAGAGGTTGATGCCTTGAAAAAATGGAGAAGAAAAAGAGAAAATAAAATAAAAAATGGCTAAATAAAGTCTTTCACGTGCTATTGTTCAGTGTATGACACTCATTTTGACATGTCAGCAAAAAGTGTCAAAATGACACAATAAAATCCTAAATGAGGTGTCTAAAATGAACACCGCGTAATTGAGCTGTATGAGTAAAAATTTGTTCCAAGTTTAGGGGGCCACCGATGGATTTGGCCAAAAGTAATTTAATATTTTAATGCATGTATAACAAAAACACACATAACATCTTTCACCTACTGTCCCACATATATTATACATATATTTCCTCATAAGTTCCACATGTATTAATTGTCTAGGATTACAATAAATGCAACAAAAACATTTTATAGAACAAATACATGAATAATTTTATATGACACATGAAAAATAATAAACCAAACATTACATAAAATAATATATGAATAATTTTTATACAATATTTAAAAACATACAACCAAACATTTTATAAAATTAATACATGAATTACTTTGATTCTATTTGAAAAAAAATAATCAAACATGGTATAAAAAATATAATACATAAATAACAAAGCTATGTATTAGTTGTGACATAATAAAAATATAGGAGTCGTTTGACTGCTTGATAGCATTACATGTAATAGTTACATACATGAATAGTTTCTTTTTTCTTATCAACCTTCACAGATCGTATTAATTATATGAGTTAATAACCTTTTCCTTATCCACCTACTTAGTACCATATACGTTATACATTCTCTAATATATGGATAAAACTTAATTTAAAAATATTGGTGTTATATTTTAATCAATATTATAAGTTGCATAACTAGTAATAATAAATTATGACAATAGCATATTAAGGACGGTTAATACTCCATTCATTTCATTTTACTTCGTCCCTATATCATTTCATGTTGTTTATTTTAGCAAATTCAAACAGTTTAGTTTTTCTCATACGATCTTTAGGCCTCATTTTGTATGAGGATAAAACATAATTAATTATGGAATTAATAGGATGAATTATTCCATATTTGGTTGGAATAAAATATATGATAATCTATTTTGAGATAATTTATACTCTAATTGTTAGAATATGTGCATTCACTATCCGTCAATGGATCAGGTCCTTTGACACACTCAAAATATGAACAACTGTAAATAAAGGCAGAAACCTCCTTGCTCAAGGGAGTAAAACAACAACCTACCTCACAAGATTTTAAACCGTTTCCACTAGTCTTCACAAGCAAAAGTAAAATTGTTTACAAAAACGTGATAAAAAGTTATTAATCTCACTATTAAGCAATAACTCTATTGGTTGAAGAGCCTAAGCAGATTTCACTCTGCCCACTAAGCTACTTAGGATCAACTAAGCAACACGCAGGTTGCCCACTAAATCACCACGCTCCGAATGACTTAGGATTTTTACTAAGCAACACTCAAGGCTGCCGACTAAATTAGTTGGACTCAACTGATTTAGGATTTTCACACCAAACAACTACCTGATTACTTTATAAATGGAGGAACAGATTTACAATTTACATGCAGAAGAAATAATCCTAAGACAACTAAGCTTCCAGCTCTTTCATATTTGAGTTGATCTTGAGGATGCTACTTCACTCCTTTTTGAAAGCCTTTCCAAGAGTTCTTGAGATATTTTTCAAGTTGCAAAAACTAATTGTGAATATAGGGATGTTTTATTTATGTAAAAAGGTCACAAAACATAAAACAATCCCATTGGCTGAGGTTTCTGGCGCGTCTACCACTGTTGGAGACTGTGCACTAACTTTTTGTACTTCGTCCAGCTAGCAGCCAAAAATCATATTGAGCCAAGAACCATGTCCCTTCATAAGGTCCCTAAGTTTGTGAAATCATAAAAACTACAAATAACATCTTCCCCCTTTTTGATGGTGACAAACAGTACACCAGTGTCTGCATGTTCTTCCATGTTTCCTTCCCCGTGTCGATAAAGACCTCGCAGTTGCATGAACATTTGCACAATGAATCAGGTCTCTTGACAAGGACTTTGAGTTTGTCACATCATCAAACTCCAAATAACATTTTCTCTCTCTTTTTGATGATGACAAACCATACACCAATGCCTGAATTTATTCCCCCTGTCGAGTAGACACACTCATTAGTTTCCTACACCATGGATAGGTACCTTTACAAGGTCCTTGAGTAACACTGGTACGTGCATATTTTCCTTGAGTTACATTGGTACATGCATGTTTTCATTTCCCCCTGTCGCTTTTTCTTTCTCCCCCCTGTACTTCTTACCAACCTAAGCATCATCTGAACACTCCCAATTTATTACCCTTTTGGCATCATAAAAAAGTAGTACAGTAAACCAACACAAAAAGTAAGATTGATAAGTAAGATCACAGTCAAGGAGAACACTAACATAGTTAATAAGCCAAAAAGCAACAGACTTTAGCCTTAATAAAACAAGATTCCATATCATGAGCATAACAAATCAGCATTCAATACATTTAAGTTAAACTGAAAACTAAGAACCCCAGACACTATCCACACAAAGGAAAGACATAGGAAGGACTATGAAGAGGGAGGTATATGAAAGAGGGACTTGATAATAAGGGTGAGTGTAGAGTTCGATGCATCAGTATCCTTGATCATCTTCTCTTGAAGAGAAACAACTTTTGCCAATAGATCATCATTTAGGTTTTCTATCTTCTAGACAACCTCAGTAACAGGTCCCTCTGTTTGCGCTTTGAGCAGTTCTTCTTTTAACAGAGCAATTTCATCCTCCTTGTTGCTCACTAGCATAGTTATTGCATCTAATTCATGTTTCAATTGGTCCTACCCCTTAAAATCAACTGAGAAACTTTACTAAGTGCATTTCCCTTTCTTTCAATACACTCACATGATGAATAGATCAGTTGCAGAAGCCATAGTACCTTTTTTTTATAACAACCTTCTTTCCCGCAAAAGTCTTAGTTTTCTTTTGCTTTTACCTTTACTCACTTTCTTAGACGACTTGTCCCTTTTATCAACAGAAGCTGCTTCAGAAAAGGTGCAAGAAGCCACTAGATTTATCTCATTTAGAGAATCTAGCATTTTCTTTGAAGAAGAAGAGGATTGAGACATTATTGTTTGAAAGAGAATACTTAAATGCTAGAGAGAGATAGAAATATTGAGAAGGTTTTGATTTTAGACTTAGAGAGAAAAGTTGGAATGTAATAAGATGGAGTGTAGCAAAGGCACTATAAAAAGAACTTGAAATTGTGTATCAGGTCCCTAGATTTATGCGTCGCTTGGATTAAAGGCGATGGGACAACGGTCAGAAGGACCGATGACTGACATGGGGTGATCTGAATGGTTCTCATTTGACAGTTTAAAACAAATATAAAGAGTTGTAACCTTGGGAAGGACCAGGTACTCAACTACAGATGAATACAATTCTTTATGGTTCTGGCCATTCTCTTCTCTTTTGCTTTCAATGGGTGTATACCTGCATTCAGATACAAAGATGATCTTACTTAACAATGCATTACAGGTTCTGTGGATACCTGCCCTCCAGATCTTAGCCAAACCAAAAATTAGAGGCTTCTTGAAGAAACTAGGTTAGTGCATGTTCATCATCTTCAACTTCAGCCTCTTGCTCTAAAATAGATCCTTGCTAAGAGATTTGATAAAGATGTCTATAATATGATCTTCAGACCTGATGATGTTTCCTTTCTCAACATTATCTCTTAAAAGGTGATGCCTGACATCAATATGTTTGAATCTTTTGTGCTGGACTGGATTCTTTCCCATGTTGACTACACTAGCATTATCATACATGAGAGGGATGGTGTTGATGTGGACTCCAAAATTCTCAAGTTGTTGCTTTATCCAAAGAAGTTGAGCACAACTAGAAGTAGCAACTAAACACTCAGCCTCAATTGTTTAGAGAGCCACTGATGAGTGGGGATCCAAGGAAAAGAGCCATTCTAGAATTGTGCTTTCTGTCTACATGATATCTTGCAAAATCAGCATCTACATATACCACTAATTTAAAAGAATTACTTGCAGGATAAAACAGGACCAGGTCCCCTATTTTCTTCGGATACCTCAGGATTCTCTTAGCTGCCTTTAGATAAGATTCCCTGGGGCATGCTTGGAACTGTACACACATTCCCACACTGAATACCATGTCCAACCATCTTTCTGTCAAATACAATAGAGACCCAATAAAACCTCTTCACATTATTTAATTTACTAAAAGATCTGACTCATTTGCTCCCTTTTTTGAGTTTATACCCATGGGGTATCAATTTCTTCGCACAAATGTTCAAAAGTTGCCCCAAAAATGATATCATCCATATACACTTGAATGATGAGAAGTTCTTGATCTCTTTTCATAAAAAACAATGTGTTGTCAATTTCCTTCCTCTTGAAGCCAGTCTTCTCTAAAAACCTTGACAACCTTTGATACCAAGCTCTAGGTGCCTGCTTCAACCCGTACATATCTTTGTTGAGTTTGAACACATGATTTGGCAAATTTGCATACTCAACTCCAGGTGGATATTTAACATATATTGTTTCCTTCAAATCACCATTCAAAAAATAACTTTTAAATTCCATTTGGAATAGTTTGAACCCGATAAAAGTTGCAAATGCTATGAGGATTCTGATAGCCTCCATTCTCATCCATCTTGTTTCTGAACACCCACCTGGTCCCAATAATGGTTTTGTCAGCAGGTCTTGGGACTAGGTACCACACATTGCTTCGCTCAAATTGATGCAATTCATCTCGTATAGAGATTACCCAATCAACATTCATCAGGGATTCTTTCACATTTTTAGGCTCAATAGTAGAGATGAATGCTGAGAATGCAACCAAATTCCTTGTTTTTGACCTGGTTTGTATCCCAAAATTCAGAGGAGAGATGAGATTTTCAAGGGGGTGAGATGAGCTATGCTTCCATCCAGATCTAGAGCCCAGAGAATGTGGTTGATCCATATGTTCTTCATCTTCAGAATCATCATTTGTGGCAGGAGGATGAGTGTCCTCTTGGCTTGCATCATTAGAAGGACCAGGTCCTATAGTAGGATGGTTATCCTCTTTCACCTCCTTGGATAGACTAAGATCAACAAACAGTGTCCAGATTCACCTCAGTTTCATTTCCTACTTGCTTCATGGTTCTGGAATTTGAATAGCTCCAACAAATCATCATCATCATTCATATCAGCAGTCTTAGACTTTGACTTGAGAAACATAGTCCACATGAATCTTGAGTAGTCATCCACAACCACTGAAATGTAATTTTTCTCGCTTCAACTCCAAATCTTTGCCATTTCAAAAAAGTCAATATGTATTAACTCAAGAACCCTTGAAGAACTGACCTGCTTCTTTGATTTATATAAAGATCTTGTTTGTTTCCCTTTGACACGTGCATCAAACACTTTACTCTCACTATATTTCTTCTTTTTCAGACCACAGACCGATCCCTAGAAACCAATTTGTTGAGTAGAGAAGAGCTCACATGACCTAGTCTCATTTGTCGGAAGTCAGCACTTTCACTTTGAGCAATTAGGCATGTCAGATTATCTCCACGAGTTATTTCTAGTTTTGATGCATGCATGTTTTTTTTGGAAGTCAAAAATCACCCTTTTTGTGGACAAAATATTACACATTTTCAATGGAATCTTCAAGAGATTTGCCAAATTTTCTTATGCCAAGAATATACCTTTTTTCCGTTGCCAAAAAAGACACCTCCTCTGTGAAGTGCCTTGAGTGAAAGGAAGTTTTTGTTATTTTCAGTCACGCGCTTTGAGCAGCCACTGTCCATGTACAAGCACGTGCTGCTACTTCCTTCACTCACCTGAAAAAAAACATTAGTTATTAGATTCGGGAACCCACTTCAATCTGAGTTCCCAATAAGCTGACAAAGGTGTAATGAGAGTGTTTTTTCCCCAGTGTGACAACTTTGTCTTCTTCAAGTTTGAGACCCTACGAACTGGAGCATGTCCTCTATTTTTAGTAGTTTCTTGTCTAGGCTTTTTTCTAGTAGGACCTGGTCCTTTAGCTGAGTCCTTTTCTGCTTAGAATAGATAGAGAAATTTTCTTGTGAAGCTTTCTAGGCAGGACAATCTCCGTTCAGATGCTCGTTTCGACCACAGTGAAGACAAAGTAAATTTTGAGACAAACACATATTTGTTGTGGGGGTTTTAAGGAGGAGTAATTTTCAAACTTCCTAAACCCCTTTTTTTTTGTAGTTGCTTTGACTTGTAACATTAGATTGTAGTTTGGTGGAGCTGGTCCATTTTAAGTATACTTGAAGTTCTTCCTTATGATGAACCAGGTCCCTCTATCTGAACATTTCTTTCCATGGCTAAGGCAAGTATGGTTTCGGTCGGGTTTGAATTGCTTTCTAACTCTCCCTGTATATTAGTAGCTACAGCCTTCCTTTTACCAGATTTCTCGATCATCAAATCAGTTGCTCCTTAAGTTCCATTTTTTCAGATTCAAAAACCATCATTTGTTCCTCAAGAAAAGACATTTGAACTACCATTTCTTCCATTTCTTCATTTAAACCATCAAGACTACTGTCCATAGAGTCCCTTTCAATAGTTAACTCTATAACAAAGTCAATCAAGACATTTGCTAACCTTTTCAACCTTTTAATAGAGTACGTACACAAGTTTTTGTTAAAGTCATGAAGAGTTACCTTATCTTCATCATCGTCCTCATATGACTTAGCCATGAGGGAAAACATCCCATTGAATATGTTATCCTCATCTTAAATCACCAGGATTGATGTATCTTTGGGACAATCTGAATCTTCTGAATCGCTTGAAGAGTCTCCCCATGCAGTAAGAGCTTTCTTCACTGCATATTTAGCTGCGGCTTTTCTGGCACATTTTTCAGGTACCATGTCGCTTCGTTTGTCCTTTTCAACTCTTGGCCTTTGATACTCCTTGTTTTCAGCTTTGGGCATCAGACTGTCCCTTATAAAGTGGCCAGCCTTTCCATATTTGTGACACAAGTCACTAGCAGTTGCAGCATAAGGAGGGTTCCCTCCTTTTCTAAGCCCTTTGTTTTTTCTTATGATCTTCTGAAATCTCTTGGTAAGATAGTCCATATCATCTTCTTTACTAGACACTTCTCCAGGAGCAAATTTGAGTACTAGAGACTTGTCTTTATTGGCCTCCTTCTTTTAGAGTCTTGACTTCTATTCATTTCATGTTTCTTGAGATTTCTAATAAGAGCTTCTATATTTAGAACTTTCAGATCCTTAGCTTTAGTGAAAGAATCCACTTTGCTTAAGAGCGTCCATCGTCAGAACTTTCACATCCTTAGCTTCAGTGATAGCATGTACTTTGCCTTCCCATAACTTAGGAAGAATTTGAAGAACTTTCCTAACTTGCTTGCAAGTACTGATAGGCTCTCCAAGACTTTGTAGTAGCTCATTTGTTATGGAGGAAAGTTTAGTATACAAGTCATGAATAGTTTCCCCTTCCTTCATTTTGAATTTTTCATATTGAGAAGTGAACATGTCCACCTTTGATTCCTTCACCTGCTTAGTACCTTCATGAGCAGTCCCGAGACAATCCCAGATCTCTTTTGCTGATTCACAGAAAGAAATACGAATATATTCTTCAGCACCTATACCACAAACCAACAGCTTCTTAGCCTTGTAGTGTTTGTAAGTCTTCTTTCTGTCCGCTTCGCTGAATTATTGACGAGTCTTTGCAATAACTCTAGTTTTCTCACCATCCTTTACTTCAGAAGTTGGAATTAAAGGCCCATCCAATACAATGTCCTATAGCTCACTATCCTCAGCCATAAGATAATCATGCATTCTTGACCATTGAAACGCGGCAGTCGAGTTTAGAATTGTCCTTCTTCTAGGTTAAGTGGAGCAGTCATTATTTTGTAGGAACCACTCTCTTGGTGTTAACCAGTTAGAGAGTACCTGCTCTGATACCGCTTGTTAGAATCTATGCGTCCATTATCAGTCAATGAACCAGGTTCCTTGACATACTCAAAATATGAAGAACTGTAAATAAATGCAGAATATCAATACCAATAGTTTACATGGAAACCTCCTTGCTCAACAGAGTAAAGTCACAACCAGTCTCACAAGATTTCAAACCGTTTCCACTAGTCTTTCAAGCAAAAGTAAAACCGGTTACAAAAATGTGAGAAAAAGCTATTAATCTCACAACCAAGCAATAACTCTATTGCTTGAAGAGCCTAAGCAGATTTCATTCTGTTCAGTAAGCTATCACCACTAGACAACTTAGGATTCAACTAAGCAAAATGTAGGTTTCCCACTAAATCCCCATGCTTCGGATTACTTAGGATTTTTTCTAAGAAACACTCAAGGCTGCCCACTAAATCAGTTGGACTCAACTGATTTAGGATTTTCACACCAAACAACTATGTGATTCCTTTATAAATGGAGGAACATATTTACAATTTACGTGTAGAAGAAATAATCCTAAGATAACTAAGCTTCCAACTCTTTCAGATTTGAGTTGATCTTGAGGATGCTTCTTCACTCCTTTTTGTAAGCCTTTGCAAGAGTTCTTTAGATATTTTTCAAGTTGCAAAAACTAATTGTGAATATAGGGCTGATTTATTTATGTAGAAAGATCATAAAACATAAAACAATCCCATTGGCTGAGATTTCTGGCGCGTCTGCCACTTCTGCCACTGTTGGAGACTGTGCACCAACTTTTTGTACTTTCTCCAGCTGGCAGCCAAAAAACATATTGAGCCAAGAACCTGTTCCCTTCTTAATATCCCTGAGTTTGTCAAATCATCAAAGCTACAAAATAACACTAATATTAAGCAATTACGTAAGATAATATTCTATTTGTTCACTTTTATTTATCACATTTGGACTCGACCCATTCATTATGAGAAAAAGATAGTTTGACATGACTATTTTATTACACTACTCCTATTAATTGAAGTTGAGTATTATGTCTTAGAAAATTATTGAAAAAATAAGTGATTAATGCAAATGTTAAATCATGATAAAAGAAATTTTCTTTTATAAATATATTAAAAGTTTTAGGTAGAAATAAAAAAGTTATTTTCCAAATTGTGAAAAAGTAGAAATTAAAAAAGAAAATAGTAGTCAAATTTAGAATTCTACAACATCACAAATAAGTTTAATTTTAACAATAATTTATTTTTTTTTACGAAATATATCAAATCAATGGAAGTCAAGTATTATGAAATAGTTGAAATACATGATCATATGCATAGTTAAAAGAAAAATTCCCTAAATACATTAGATCAAATTGCAATCATAACATAGCTAAACTTAACATTTCTAATATACTCTACTTTTTATTATTCTAATAAATTTTACCAAACCACCTTTGTAAAATAGCTCACTAAAGATTTATACACAAAGAGTCTTTCTTTGTCAAGAACTTCAACAAAAACCACCAGCCACATTCAAGCTTTAAAGTTTCATCCACAAATTCAATAGCTTTAGTCATATATTCAACCACCCTATCTTGTTTTATTTAAAATTATATTATTCTTCAACGAAAAGTCATATAAAGATAATTTTAAAGTTGGCATAATGGGTAATATGAAGTATTGATCTCAAACGGTGCTTGTGGTTATTACGGTAGTTTACATAGCAGAAAAATTAACAAACATGTTTCTAATTACAATACTAGAACTTAACATATGTATATTGTTTGGCCGGGCGGACCCCCGTCCCATTTAGAATTTTAGTTGTAGTTTACCTGCCCTGTTTTGTCCTGCCCTACCACACGCTTCGCTTCCGAGATTCCTATTGGCGACATTAATGTTATCTTCTATGGAAAGGAGACTTTTAGTTTATTATACTCTCGCCGTTCAAAAATAAGTTTCACCTTAGAAATTCAAGACAATTTTATATGTTTCCATGTAGACTTTTATATTTCATCTTCTTACTAATGTTTATTTCTCAAAAGTAAAATTTATTCAATAAGGATATTTTTTAATATACTACATAGCATTTATTGAATTTTTAATGAGCATAATGCTAACTAAGATAATATATACTTGCTTTGAAATGGAGATGGTAATATTATACCTGGCGAATAGACAAAAACTCATAAAATGTCAAGGAGTAACACTCATCATTATTATTTATTTTAGGCTTGAAGGTAAGGTTGCAATTATAACTGGTGCTGCTAGTGGCATTGGTGAAGCATCAGCGAAACTTTTCTCTAGATATGGATCCAAAGTTGTGATTGCAGACATTCAAGACGACTTGGCACAAAATGTTTGCAAAGATTTGGATCCATCATCAACTACCTTTGTGCATTGTGATGTTACAAAAGAGGAAGACTTAGAAAATGTTGTGAACATTGTTGTAGACAAGTATGGCAAGCTAGACATCATGTACAATAATGCTGGTATTATGGGAGCAGTCAAATCCAATATTCTTGAAAATGAAAAATCTGACTTCGAAAAAGTCATTAGTACTAACCTCGTAGGTATGGAATAAGTGCATCTTCTATCTCATAGGCTTTGATGCTTTTCATATTTAATAAATGTAATATCCCTCGCAGGTACATTTCTTGGAATTAAACAAGCAGCACGAGTCATGATCCCTCGTGGTCAAGGTAGCATAATTACAACTGGTAGTGTTTGTGCATCAATAGGTGGTGTTTGTCCTCATTCCTATACCAGTTCAAAACATGGATTGTTAGGACTTACTCGGAATGCTGCAATTGATTTAGGACGGTATGGCATTCGTGTGAATTGTGTGTCACCTTACGTTATTCGTACGACATCAGCTTTAGATACCTTAAAAAAGATGGGGAAGGAAGATTCAGATGTTTATTCTACCTTAAACGGTCCTACACTTACTCCTTATGATGTCGCCGAAGCAGCTGTTTTCCTAGCAAGTGATGAGTCCAAGTATGTAAATGGCCAAGATTTTGTTATTGATGGGGGATTCACAATTGAGAATCCAGGTTTATCAATGTTCAAGTAGTTTTTTGTATTTGATAAAGCTATACGTAATTTGGAATAAGATTCATGTTTATTTCTTTTTCAGTAGAGGTCATGTCCATATTTTATAAACAAATTAAGTATGTATTTATTTATTTTCTTCGCCTTTTCATTCTGTGTACCATCATAAGTGCATGTGTGGTGCATCTTACTGAAGAAGGATTACATAGCAGAAAGCTCATATCCAAAAGGGAAAAGAGTCTAATATACCCCTCAACTTTGTCATTTAGAGCTGATATATCCCTTGTTATGAAAGTGGCTCACATATACCTGTATTTGTAAACAAATGACTCACATATACCCATTTCCTTTAACGGAAATGAAAAAAATAATAATTTTAATCTAAATTTTTATTATTTTTTTCTAAAAAATATAATCTCATATGAGTAAATTTAATACTCGTCAAACATATTTTTTTTGACTTTTTTGTTTAAATGACTAATTTATAATTATTAATTTGATAATCAAATTTATTTATCTTTCACTAATATTCTTGTGAAACTTATTGTAGATGACCAAATTGTTTTTTCGAATACAAAATTAAATTACAATACACACAAAAAAATTAGTTTAATTTTTTATTTTTTAAGCTAAGGAATGAAAAAAAAACAAAATAAGAATAAGAAATTCAAATAATTATAATAAAAATGTCAAAAAATAATTTATGTATGAAAAAAATTAAAATATACCTTGAACTTTGATAGAAGAATCATATATACCCCTAAATAAATTTTTTTAAAAAATTAGAAGTAATAAATATAAATTTAAAACTAATTTTTTAACTTCCGTTAAATGAAGAGTATATGTGAGCTATGTTGTAACGTCACGGGTATATGTGAGCCGTTTGTATAACGGTAAGGGCATATATGAGCCACTTTTATAACGAGCGGTATATCAGCTCTAAATGACAAAGTTGAGGGGTATATCACACCTTTTCCCTATCCAAAATTATATATACACTTTTCTTTTCTAACGGTAGAAATCTTGGGCTTGGAGACAACCCTTTATTAATTAAGGACATTGAAGATGCATGGATCAAAGATTTGAAGGCTCAAACAATCCTAACTCTTGTAACAGCATCTCAACTTCATTGTGCTTAATGAGGTACCACGGATTCACGGTACTTTAGATGCTTTAAACATGGAGTCTTGCATGAGTCTTAAGCATTTGTTAGTAGATGTGATGCTATTTTTGCTTCGATTTTGCAGGATATGGGTTTTGGAACGGTCAATGAAATGTTTTAGCAGCAATAATTTTTTGATGATTGACGACTTGACCTACGAGCGAGTCGTAGAATCTTCTATGAGCCGTAGGTATGAGTCGTGGTTTGGAGTGGTAATTTCTCGAGCTAAGTGTGAAACAAAGAAACCTAACGACGAGCTGTAGTTGCTTCTGTTAGCTATACAATTCAGTCGTAGAATGTTCAGAGATGTTGAGTTTCGGTGATTGAATGACGAGTTGACAGGACGGGCCGTACAAAGATCAACAGACTGTTGATCATACCGGTCGATAATGCTACTAAAGTGAAGGAATAAATAATGATCGACGGAGGCTATCTACGAACCGTAGGAAGACCTACGAGTCGTAGGTCTCAAGCATAGAAACAACTGCCCAAGCCGAATGTCCTTACAATTCCTTTTCCTACTACGTTTGTGATTTGATATTTATAAGTATTGGTTGTAATTTTTCTTTTTATGGGTTGTTAGACGATTTGATACTTTTTATATTAGCCTTGAGAACTAACTTGCAAACATTTTGAGCATTTAATTCTTAAAGTATTGGTTTATAATATTGCTTTTTGTTCATCAATTAAAGATTCTGAATTTCATCTACCCGAATTATAAGTTTATGATTTATTCAATTTATCATATTATAAAGTATGATTAACCAAGCATAAGTAGGTAATACCACAACTAGGATTATGGGATCATGAGTAATTAACAAAGTAGGCCTAATAATTAAGTAATTCTTGAAGTGTTTACACTTCAGTAAGACATATTCAAGTTACTCTATCACAAGACTTAGCCATATCTAGCTAGCTTCACTGCCACATTATGAAGCTTGTTTCTCCTGTTTATATCCCTTATTATCCCTTATGAATATTGTCTGATTGATATATATAATCTTGGGGGAAAATAGTTACCCTTCTTCCATGTAAAACTCTGGAAATTATCATGTTGGCAAAGGTGTTTTTAATATTCTTCTCAGATGTAAGAACATTTTTAGCTGAGGCCCTTCCCTGCTCAATTTTTTCATGTTGCCTCCATATGGATTTATCTCAAATTTTGCTTCTTTCACCTTTATTACATCTTCCAATGTAGCAATCTATTAGAAAATGTTACCAAAGGTTTTCTACCCCAATTAGCTAATACCTCTTGCAACATCTTGATTTTCTTATGATAAATGGTAATAGGACGGTCCTTCCACTGGTACTGCCTACATTCCTTCACTTTCTTTTATAATCTGAATGATTTGTCCAAAAAAAACAAACTGACTGGTCAAACTATAGGTGGCTCCTGTGTTGCATTACATGTCACATGCATGAAGAGGGGCATGGTGACTCTACCCTAATTAGATGATAAGCCTCACTATCTGTCAATGAATCCACAAATTTATAATTTTTCAGTATTCTATCTAGTCTTTTGAAAATACATTCCTCCTCAATTCTTCAAGTCCACCATGTATATTTTCTCCATGAGTGCCATATTACCCTTGAATAACAATTATTCAAACATTGAGCAAAATCAATGGTTTCCTGTTGTGTAACAAGGAGACCACCCATATTTTCTTCCTCATTCAGAGTAATATTGATATCACCCCCTACAACCAAAGGTTCTTGAGCCCTCATTGTTGTCATATCAAAATCCTTCCATAGCTCTAATCTTTCAAGAGCACTGCACTAGGCATATACAGCTTAAATTTTGAAGCTATTATGACAAGTGTTATGAGTGAGCTTTATTGTTAATTGTTGAATTGAATCTTCTCTACATGTCATTACCATTCCTCATTCTAAAAAATCTATATATCAGCTGAGCAATCTAGCATCTAAGATTTGGAACAAAAGGAAAAGAAACTTTTGGGTTGCATGTTGTCTCAACAGTTCCATGCATGTAACGATTATAGAAGCTTCTACGGACGGTAGATTGCAACTGTAGGAAGGGGGAAAATATTTTTTTAAAAATCAAGTCACAGTACCTTTTCTACAGTTCACCAAGATGGTTCATCAATCAATCTATGAGTCGTAGATAGGGTTCATAGAAACAATCCAGACTTGTGAAACTTTGAAGTCCAAGTTAAGTTCAATGGTAAGGGTCTACCGACTGTGAGAAGTCTTTCAAATCGTAGAAGGATTTTGATAAAGTTACGTATATTTTTTTGTCCCAGTACTTGGTTAATGGTTGAGCTAACAAGTTCTAGGGTACATAGATGTGACCTTTGGCCGTTATTAAGGGACTTTTGTCTTTTCCCTAATCATTTTTAATCAAACCATGCTGTTTTTCCTTCTACCCCTAAGCCATATATAAAGTTTTTCTCTTCGAAAACTACCCAGTTTGACCCCATTCTCCTAATTTCTCTAAACGTAACCAAATTCACTCCCTAATTCCTTTCAACCAAAGGAAAAAGAAGAAGCTAGGATTCAATTTCAAGTCCTCCAATACTCTACTCTTTCTTGGGCTCTGAATAGCAAGGTATGTTAGTATTCACCTATGGAGTCCTTTCCTCCACGGAGTTCCTAAAATATCTAATTTCACAAGTTAGATTATCCAATCAAAGTTAGAGTTTTACTCAATCTTGATTAACTAGTTCTTTTAAATTTTTATCAAATTGATTGTTATCTATTTATTTATGTATGAATTGAAGTAATTACATGTTTTGGAGTTAAATTTATATAAATCCATGCATTCCCCATGAATTTAGACTATGAACATATGATTAACCTTATAAACTATGGAAGATGAATTTATGAAAATATACATATTATTTATATGGAATTGATATAAATGATTTAAATTTATTTTGAGAGTAATTCATCATTGTTATTGTTGTTGTTGTAGTTTCAGTTGTGAAAGGTTATTCTCAAATAAAGGATTCATAGGATTCAATGGTTTTCTCACCTAACATTGAATCAAGGTTTATTATCTATTCTAAATGAAGTCGCACTTTGATTTGTTGATTTATTGTGTCTTTCGTGGATAATAAGATGAGTAGGACTAACAACTAGTCCATGAGATATATGCTTAACACCGAAACGATATCGAGATTGAAACTCTCCATTAGTAGAGGCGAGTTTCTAGTAGCAATTTCTCTATCCCATAGAAATGTACCACCATAGGTTTGTCTTAGATAGACATTAGCTAGTGGATCCACTTTAGCTCAACTTTATTGTTCTTATCTTGAAAAGTAAGGACATCCCCTTTTTGGTGTGGAATAGAAATCATATCCCATGTTATAGCTCACATGGTATATGTCGATTAACGAAAAACATCCCACAATAACAAACTAAGGTAAATTTCTAAAGTAACACACAAGTGTTTAATGAATTTGAACTTGCATTTACCATGAGTATGATTTATGTTTTCTAAGATACTATCTTTCGATTTATCTTGGTCATTGCATGTAATGCGAAGTCCTTTCCACATAATTTCATAACTCTTATGCATTGCTATCACACTTAGTACATTTCATGTACTAATGCATTCTTGTGTCTACATTGTTCCACTATTGTAGGGAATGATGCTCCTACCTCCCACACTCGTGGCTACTTGATCTTTTTGGGTATTCAAATATTGGTTAGTCCTCACGTTCTAAGAACCGAGACTCTTTTATTTGCTTTATGTATTTTATTTTTCAGACCCTGTATATGATATATGAGTTACGTCTCAATCACTTTCTTTATGATGTATTAGAATAGTTTTGAGACTTATGTAAGACTTCTGCTTTTGTCAAACAATTTTTGATATACGATTGTCTTTATTAATCTTTAAATTATATTGTATTGTATGATGTAAACTAAGTGTTTTATGTAGGGTCTCTCGGGGTCCTATACAATATGTTACACCTAAGGTATACTTTCGGTCATAACAAAACTAGTATTCACAACACTAGGTTTATAAAGGTACTAGGATGTGCCATAATCCGCATCGAGTAGAGTTTTGTTCATGAGTGTAAAACGATACATATTTATTAATAATAAGCTATAATATGTTTAAGAAACTCCATAATATTTATTACTCTAAAGTCGTGAGATAGAGTGTAACTCTATATGTCTTTCTCCAAATCCTTATTTAATGCTTTTCAAGATATGACCCCTCAAAGAGCATATGTTAGGAGGAAGAGGTATGAGAAGCTCTACAAATTTAAGCCGACCCTTTTGCCAAAAAAGTGATTAATGCAGAGTTTAGGGTTGTTTTTCAAGTTTTGGCTCAAGCGATGAAGGCCGAAGACAATACGGGGGTGTGGTCCCCGTATACCAAACTGTGGAAACAATGGAAACTAGAGTGAGGGACTTCATTGGAATGAATCCCCTAGAGTTTGATGTTGCCAATACTAAGGAAGAATCTCAAGAGTTCATTAATGAAGGTGTTGACTATAACTAGAGTGAAATCGGTAGAAAAGGCAGAGTTGCTCGCCTATCAACTTAAAGATGTTGCTCAATCTTTGTTCAACCTATGGTAGGAAGACAAGGTAATTGATGCCAGTCCTCTTGATTGGGAAAAATTTAAGGCTGCTTTCCTTGATTGGTTCTTTACCCTTCAGATGAGGGAGGAAAATTTACTTGAATTCATCGACTTTCATCAAGGAAATATGATTGTGAAGGAGTATGCCTTAAAGTTCACACAATAGTCTAGATGCACTCCAACTACGGTTGTCAATCCTAGGGTAAGGATGAAAATGTTTGTTTTGGGACTGTCTGAAATGGCAGATAAAAAATTTCGTACCACCATGCTCATCAATGAATTGGAAATTTATTGTCTAATGGTGCATCATAATAATTGAATAGGAGAAACTAAAAGATAACTCTAGGGAGTTAAAGAAAGCAAACACCAGTGGTATTGACTTTTCACATTCTAGGTCCAATTCTACATGGTCATTCTATGTTCCAAAAAAGGTTCTCTGATCAAGGTCTTTAGTGCTATAATTCAAAAGTACAAAAAATGGAGTGTCTAACCCTAAGACTAACGGAGGAAATGATGTTGGATCTTCATTGTCTACTTGTGCTAGATTTTGAATAAAGCATCAGGGTAAATACTTAGCCGATATGGATGGTTTGTTTTTTTGTGGAAAGAGTGTCAGAATATAGAATTGTCCATCGCTTACTATCAAGGGAAGAGAAGGTAGGAAAGCTCTGATTAGTGGTTCGGTTTCAAATGTTCCCAAGCTAAAAATACTTTATGTACTACAAACTCGTCATCAGAAAGAGGATTCCCTGATGTGGTTACCCTTATATTTAAAGTCTTTCATTTTGATGTTTATGCTTTTGCTTGATCGCGCTTCTACCTTGTATTTTGTGATTCCATGTGTGGCTAAAGTTTTACATTTCTTTGGATGTGTTATTGGATCCTTTTTGTTTCTTTACTCCTTTTGGTGAATTTATTGTGTCTAAGAGAGTCAATACAAATTCTCCAGTATCCTTATCCGCTAGAGTTACTCAAATTTATCTTGTAGAGATCAATATGCTAGATTTTGATGTTTTTCTTGGCATGGATTATCTCCATTATTTTAATGCTACTATTGATTTTAGAACCTGAGTTTTAAAGTTTTATTTTCCAAATGAACTCATCCTAAGGT